CATCTCTCTGCCATCACAAAACTTTATATCGAGAAACAACTATCTATCTACTATCAGCTACAAACACAAGTACAGTAATGTCTCTCACATTGTCCACTTGCACGAAACTTAAACAGGACAATTTGGGAAGCCTGGACATTGTTTTCGAGCCTCGCAACCCGCCTTTGTAGTTTACCGAGCGAAGATAAGGATGAAACGAGAGTCGAGACAACCAAGCGATTTAAACACCAACTTTTTTAATTTTACGTTTTTTTATCTAAAAATTTTTTTAACATATTAGTGAGATTTTTCTGATGAAAATGAGATTAAACACGATATAATTTCAACAAAATTTACTTATTAACACCTTGACTGCCACGCCAAATTTACATGTTACTTTCAGGGGGCCATAAGAAAATTTTCATTATTCTAAGCTTAAGATTATATTATACTTTATTATTTTTTTTTTTTAATTCAAAATAATGTCTAGTTAGCTATGACGTTCAAAATTTTTAATTGACGATATTTATTTTATTTTAATTATTCTAAACATTTGAGGCACTCCAGTCACTGATGACCACCATGGCCTCATCGGGGAAACAATCTCCAGTCGCAGGTGACCAACGTGGCAATTAACGTGTTAATACTTATTGAGTGATTAATTTCATTTCATAATATATCGCTTTAGATGAATTAAAAAAACCAATTACTAGAAAAATAAATTAAATATCTGTACACATTGTCCGTCGAATGTGGAGGGAGGGACACCGTTTAGTGGACAATGTGAGAATCCAAAATGGTGGACAATGTGGGAGACATTATTGTACAGCCAAAGTACGAGAGGTACAGCGAAGAATTAACGTGATGCACGCACTTCACTCCTACAGACACGCTCAAACAATTAGTGAGTAAAGGCAAGAAGCGGTTAAACCAAGTAGATTGTAACCGAAGTAAGTCGATTTGATTTATGTGTCGTTATGTTACCGAGCAATTCGACAATGAAGAGATTCTGGTTAAAAACGGATGAACAGGATCTACGGTCATGAGGATCGCGAAGACGATTGCGAAATTATTAATGTAGCATCTTCGTGCTTTTCCAACATCAACACTATCCTTCTCACCGATTAATATTTCTGTTTAAGCTCGACGACTGAGTCATTTCCTCGAAGATGCGTCGCAGCGATGCTATATCGTTTGGAAGCAGCGGTAACCGCCATCTTTTATAAAGGCTGAAAATATGGACGGAGGAAGAACTTGCTGTTTACTCGCGACTTGTTTACTCGGGCAAAGACATCACACGCGATGGCACGTGGTTAGAAGGGAGGACAGGAGGAAGGGAGGGAGGATGAGCACAACGCAGCATATGCGTGTATGCTTCTGGAGAAAAAGCTCGGTCCTACTTCGCAACGACAGCCCATTCTCAACTTACCCTCTAGAAGGGTGAATGATTGGCTCGGAATCGCTCAGTTCCAAATCACTGTCAACGTGTATTCGTTCGCCCCAAGTTGCTTTCAAGTACGACACTCTTCTTGTAGCACGATCTTCTTCAGCTGGAACAGTAAACCAGGACATAGTAAGATATATTTAGAAACAAATATATTCTTTGCACAAACGTAATCGCGACATTACCATCGCGGCTCTACCATGTACTGTCCTACCCTGAAAAGATGACGAGTGAGACGCCACATCTTCTTAGCGTAGGACAGTATGTACATAGGCTTACCAGTTTGCGTGTTTTTCTGTCGCCTGAATACAACTCCGTTACCGTGCACGTCATTATCCGACGGATGGACACCTTTGAATCATCGAGAATCATCTATTAATCATCGCGCTGCGATAGATCATTTAACCTAACAATTTCTATATGTGACACGGGTCTACTAACTAACCATGATCGGTTTCGATGATTTGCGCATAACCATCTTGCTGTTGCTGCCTTCTACAACATCCTTTCTCGTGCATTTTTTCTTTTCCACCGGTAGCTACAGCGTTCGTCGCGTCAACGTAACCGTCATCACCACCACCATCCTCCTCGTTCGTATTATCTCGTTTTCGCTCGCTGTCTTCGTCCTGCCGTTGTGGCCATTGATGTCTACCGCCGTCTATCATCGACAAATTACTCGCACTCGTCGATTCCCATGATTCCGCGCTGTTACTACGAATTCTCGGTCGTATAGTTTCGCCCTCTATGATCCTCGATGAATTCGGTGTCTCTGTCACAGATTATTTGATACATTATTACATTGAAAGTTATCAAGGGAATAATATCAAAAGCATAACGACGTTCACGATGTTAGTAGGTTTTCAACACTATGCCGTTCGACACATACATAGAAAGAGAAGGAATATGTCTTCAAATGAAAAGAAAAGACATATGACGGTGAAGAATATATGAAAAAAATGAAGGGTTACTACAATTTATAGACCGCGTTGTATAAATACCGCGTTATACGAGGGTTACCTCTAATTATAACAACCGTACTTCGTCAGAGCAGAATGTAGCAGCACAATATTAAAGGCTGTGTGCGATTAATGCTATAACGTCAAACAAAATTTGAAAAAAAGCAAGAAAGAAAAAAAAATAAAACACATCAGCGGACATCAACATTTATCCAAATCGGCTCTCTCTTCTACCTTCTAGAATCTTATAGTCGGTCGGTGGTTCACAGTGGATGCGTCTGCTGCCTACAGGAATTACTCTGTTTCCTTTTAATCCGCTACCTAAATATTTACAGTGGCGCATTAAGAATAACAAGATATTAACTGTATGTAGCGGTATCGAAACGTGGTTCCTCCACTCTCCCCAGCTTTACTCGCGCAACCGAACCTCCCGAATAGAAAAGACGGAGAAAGAATAGAATACAACGACTCACCGATATCCAAGGATTTCGTTTCCCTGGTCGACATGGCTACTATTCTTCTCGGCTCTTGAGCCTCGGCTTTCGATTCGAATTCTCTCTTTCGAACGGCAACATTTGGAACGCTACGCTTATTCGACAATCTCGAAAGTTCGCTTTTGTACAGGTTGGTTCGATCACCGGTCGGTTCGTCATCGTCACTCAATAAGCGTCCCGATTCGAACTGCTTTGCTCGTTTTGATACGATTTGAAGTCCTGGCGGCAGAGTCGGAAACTTGTCGCTTACTTTTTTGTCAGGCCCAGGGGACGAAGGTAGAGAAGAAGCACCATTTCTCGCTTCCATCGATTGTCGTTCACCCGAGAGTCGAACCCCAACGCTCGCCACATTTTCGTGTATCCTTGACAAAGTTCCAATAAAGTTGTTCGATTTTCCAACGTTTCGTTGCAATTGCTGCTGATGCCTATCAGACAACTCTTTCGAACCGTACAAATCGCGACAATCCTCGTAAACGGACGGAGTAGTATCTACGGGATCACTGATCATCTGCTGATGCGCATGATGTTCCAATGGGTGAACTGGTGCAGCGATCGATGACTCTTCAAGCAGTAGCTCGTTTCGAGAACCAAAGTACTCAGTCTCTCCGCTCCCACCGCCGCTGCTACTCTTTACCACCCTTTGAATATTTAGATTAGAAGAGGATTTATCGGACGTGAGTTTACTATCAGTAACGCTTCTCTCCTGAGCAACGTTTCTCAAAGTCGACGACTGTTGATCCTGCTTTGGATCGTTTGGTGGCCAAATTTGTTTCTGAAGCTTTTGCGGCCTCGCATAAAATTCTCGTGGGATCGCGGTAGCAGCCGCAGTTACGGAACCGTTGTTTCGAATGGGAGATTCCGGCCTCTCTTCTGGTAGAAACCAACCGATTGGATGGCTCGGTCTGCGCAAAAATTCTTCCTTTTGCTCGAAACTCTTTCGAAGTCTCGTCATGATGACGGAATCGTCGATAGCCGTTGCACTTCCGGCACTTGCGCAGCTCAAAGTACCATTGTTCGTTCTACACTCGGTTAAATTACCATTTCTATTCTCGCTTCTACCTCCGTTCATCCTGTTCCCAAGCAAAGTGAAATTGGAATCGTAAGAAGGTGGATCGTTGCTTCGCGCCGGAGAAGAATCCCTTCTAGAGTTAATGCTGAATCTAGAACCAGGTTCACAAGATCTAAGGGCATCCGTGCTAACGTAACTGGCCGTTTCGAAATTGTTCATTGTCGAGCTACTGGTACTCCCTTCGCTAGCACGGCGCGAAGTCACTCTTCTCGCAGCCGGCCGATAAATAGGTACCTGTGGTTCCGCTCGCGACAATGGAAATCGCGTCAAGTTCGAATGTTGCTGATGAGATTGATAATACTGTTGTTGCTGCTGCTGCGGAGGCGATTGATCCTCGATGTTCGTTCGTATCGCCTCCCCGAATCGGACGCGCTCGTATATCGGATCTTTAATCCTGTCGTAAATCTGTTCGTTATTTGTTCTCGAATAAATAGACTCGGTCTGTGTCCTGTCGTAAACGTCGTACCTCTCGTACTTCGATTCAGGCTGTGTCGATCTATCGCATGACTGAACACTGCTCGAACTCGAAGCATCTTTTACAGAGTGTTGTTGTTGTTGTTGTTGTTGTTGTGGTTGATTTCGCAATCGTACTTTCTCGTCCATTGATAATTCATACCGGTTAGTTGCTTCTTGAAAAGGTTTACAACGATATATCGATGACACATTTCTTGTCGATTGCGACTGCGTCTTATCGCCGCCGTTATTACCACACATTTGTTGCGTTGGTTCTTTGGAAAATTCACTCGAGCAAATATCTGGGTCTCGAGTGCAAACAGCATCATCGATTGTCCGATCCGGCATTGAACTTGCTCCGGAACAAACCCAAGATTGCCTCGTCCTTGGTGACAAACCAGGAATCATGCTGACTGATCTGCGCTGCCTAGGGCCACCGCTCCTCTCCGGAGAACGCAACCGTGGCCGCTGGTTCGTTTCTGGATTGTGCGCAGTCTCCCCAAAGTATCTCTGTAAAATATCGTCCTCTTTCGAAACGACCAAAAGTCGCAGCCAGGGTCCTGCCTGTTGAATACGTTGAACAACTTTCGCGTATTGTTCACCACGCGTTGGTTTTCCGTCCACGGAAACCACACGATCGCCTGTACGTAACCCTGCCTCGGCTGCCGGTGAATTTCCGCGCACTTGCTTCACGAATATCGTGTCCATCGGTTCGTCGATTCTGGTTCGTTCGTGTCCTGGTAGCATCTAATGAGAATCAATTCGTTTTTCAAAAAACAAGCATCGTTCGTGGGCAAAGTGTGGATGTTAATTCGAATATACTTACGCAACAAGATTCTGGTGGATAAACGATGAAATGACGAAGAGTGAAACCGAAACCATTTTCGCCACGACGCAGCAACAAGGTTCGTGGTCCGCGAGGCGGTGAATCGTCTCGATGAACGTTTCTCGTTGCCGTTATCGTACCAGCGACCGATCCAATTCCTGAAAGTGTCGGTGCTGGCGAACCATGTTCTACCTAAAAAAAATCCATTTTCTCTCTTTCTTCTTCTTCTTCTTCTTCTTCTTACTCTTCTTTTCCCTTAGCTAAGCGAGTTTAGCGAAGACGAGAAAAAAAATAATAAGTAGTTTGGGACTGGATTGAAACTCACGAGACGACATGAAATCTTGAAACGTGTAAGCGACTTTTGTCGGATGATAATTATTAATAGGTGAACCCGTAAAATTGAAAAGGAAAAAAGTTTCAGTTCCCGTTCTACGAAAAGGAAGAAGGACCTATCGTCTAGGTTTGATCTGATATCGTTTTGCTCATCCCTCCCCTTCCCCCACACTCGACCTTTCCTCACGAAAATGCTTCGTTTCTCAGCTTACTTCACCAAAATAAACCGAACCAAAGTTTGGCACCATCGTTTGGTTTTACGTACCGTGTGCGCCTGCCCAACCAACCCTTGGCAATTATTTCGGTCCTCAGCCATTGTGCTGTTTTCTGAAAGCAACCAATAATTCAGCACAATAGTGTAAATTCACATCACCTCATAGAATCCCACACAACGCGACAGTTATACAATACTTGGGCATAATCCCAAAATGAGAATCCGAGTTGTACATCGCTCATTCACATGCTTAATCTCTGCTATAGGCAGAACAACTAAGTTTACCGAGAAACTTGGTTTTACAATATTTAGCGCAACATATTTACAACGCGTAAGAGTTGTATCAAGTTCGTCCCTCGGTCACACGTATACCATACGTATTCGTGTTAATACGTTAATACATTATACGCATACATCGGACCGTTGAGCGAGCCATTCTACTTTCTCTGTAACGCGACATACTTTCTTGATATAATTTACCGTTCTGAACTATATTGTTCAAACTTACTTTTTATCCTTCGATTTCAATTAGTGTCGTCGTCGGGTAGAATAAAAAAAGAAAAAGGAATATAACGAAAAAAGAAAAAGCAAGAGAAATACGCGTTGATCCGTTACATCGTTTTAACGCTCCCAACCTCTGCTCTCTCTTTCCAGCTTTTACGACAAGTTTCGATATACATATGTACATAGTTCGATCTCGTTTCTTGTACGGTATTATGGAGAATCGAATGACAGGGAAAAGTATAATTGTGCTGATATACGGCATGCGATAATCTCCAATGGATAGAAAATATTCCGACTATTTCTCACTTTGACTTCGATCGTACGTTATCTGAAACAAACATTTTCCGACCTAAACAGAATGTAAGCTACAAATCGTGTTGCGCGCATTGACTCATTCAGGATATTTCTATATCCAATACCGGTATGCATGCGCGCGCGTGTGTGTGACAATCGTACGTAGTTTATATCTGCTGCCTTGCGGTTTCTCCGTATATTGCATCTTAACCTTTTCGTGTTGGAAAACGAATATCCTTGCGAACATCATCGTCTTCTCGATCATGAGAGAACCGAACGAAAAGATCATGTAGTTCTGTGCGTAATAGAGACTCTTTTGAAATACCTAAATATACGCTTTGTTAATGTATTGCGGTTATCCAAAATACCAGACTCTGCCCTTTTTCGCTTTGTGCGTAGCCTCATCGAGAATAGCGTGGTATGTTTCGTCGTGGTTTTCGCGCCTTTTCTCGCTACCGTTAACCCAACACGTGGAACGGCAATTTGGACTTTTCAATTGATTCTTCAAGGGAATCTTCTTGACGTATAAAACGGTTTGCTCATTTCTAAAAATACCTTAATCGTTTCATGCTACGACTGATAAATTGCAATTGATTCGACCGTTATTTAATATTATCGTTTACGGTTATCCTGATAAACATACGATCAAATGGGGGAATGTATCGCGCTGTACCTTTTACTCATCTTCTAGCGTTATTTCTCCCTTGTCTCATCCTTTCCAAAATTTGACGTGGTAATAGTTTAACGATTCTCGCATTCGTAATTATCAAACGAGACTAAACAACGATAACGAAATACTAAATACGGTAGACGCTAAAACAATTTTCCATGTAAAAAATCAAAATATACCCATGTTTGAAAAATCGGACGCACGACACGGAAGATGGG